GCTGTTGCTTCATTAATATTTGTTAATCAATAATCATTTAAATAAATTAGTTTTCAATTTTAAATTTGATGAGCTCCTGTATTTCGGGTACAGTAGTAAATTGCAATCGAGAATGATATTAACAGTATTGTTTAATTTTTAGGTAAAAAAACCTTTGCAACGCTTCGTAAACATTTTATCTTTGAGATGAAACTTCTGATCCATTGTTGACGACTTTACTAGTACTCTGCTGAAAACTTTGACGAAAAAAATTTGACTAAACAACTAAAGTGAATCACAAAAAAGTTTATCAAGAATGAAATTGTGAATGATTATTAATAATTTCATTCTATGAGGAATTTCATGATCATACATGGAACATATATATCTTGTTTGAAAATTGATAAAGTAAAACTTTATGTCGCAAGAAATATAAATCTGATGAAATTGGGCGAGCTCGAGCAATCACGTAAATTAATCAGAGTAAAAGAAAAGACCCTCCCACTGCTACGGTACTTAAAATTTAGATTAAACGTTTAATCGTTCAAGTTCAAGCGAATAATTTATGTTTTAGTGCGCAACATTTGGTGCAAAAAGTGCGAGTAAAAAAATCTCGCGTAAAGTAATAAATTGTTTTTTCATACATCTGGAAAAAAAAAATTTTGTAAAAGAAACGATATCGACAAAAGCATTTAAAATATATGAAGTGCGATTGAGGCTAATATAGGATTCTCACTTTTCTTTTTATCATGAATAAGGGATGACAGAAAAACATTTATTTTGTTTAGAGCATCTAGTTACAATCTTTGAGCGTACATTAATATTATGTTGTTTTTTTTAGTTACTGTATGACTAATTGTTTAGTTTATATAACCTGTTTTTTTTTCACGTTGGATATTATAACTATACTATAACATAATAACGCGTAGGAAAAAATATTTCTGTGATAAACATTGAAACTGAATGATATTATGTACTATTTTGAGTTGACGTATGTTTGAAATTTAATGCTGCGTCCTTTTCACAAATGAAAAATACCATTTATACACTTTTAGAATCATTAAATTAACGATGGATGAAACTGTCACACATTGCTCAAAATTTTTTTTTTTTGCAGAGCATTTCATTTCCGGGGTAATGATGAGAAACGCTAGCGCAACCAAAAGGAGTTTGTGTTTCCTGGCTCTATCAGTAGCCTGCATGTTGAGCAATCGCAGGGCAGCCGCTGCTCCTCAACCAATGTCCTCAGGAATGATGTATCGTGAAAATGGATACGATGGATCTATTAAGGTGAGCGTATTTCAATAATGAATGATGTTTACTGTGCGAACTATGCCAACTATTTTACATGAGTATTTCTTCGTTGGCTGGGGTGTGGCTTGACGTTCAAGTGTAGTGAAATAACTAAAGATAATTTATATTATGTCCAAACAGAATTCAGTGGATAGATATGAGGCAATGGAAAGAAAAAAAGAAAGAATCTTCAAAGAAATAAGAAAAATGAGTGAAGAGCAGGAAATTGCTTCTTTTGTGAACGCACAGTTAAAAAACAAACAAGATCAACAAGCTCAAATGTTTTCGGAAGAAGATCCTGAGACACCTCCAGTAGTGCCCGTTGTCTATCGCGATGAGGAACCCCCAGCGGAAAAACGCAACTGTGAGTATTAAATGTTGAATTATACACGAAATATTTCTAAATAATAAGTAAAGTAAATATTAAAAGTGTGCAATTCTTTAGTTACATTTTTTAATAGATTCTGTACTCACTGTGAAATATTAAAAAAAGAAAAAAAAAATACCTGAAACTTAAAATACCCTTATAGTGAGCGAACTAAATACAACCATAAAATTTATTACGTTACTCATTTTGATATGCCCGAAATAAGGTTTTAAAGAATGTTTTTTTTTTTCAGTTGTGGCTCTTTGTCACTTCAAAATTTGCAACATGGGCCGGAAGCGACAACAAAGGTCTGCATCGTAAAGAGAAACGTAATATACTCAGGAGGTCGTTATACATGTTGATTGCACTTCTCTTACATTTTTCAAAATCAACATGCACTGTAAATAAACCAAGGATTCATCCATCCAAGATTCATCTTCTAACTTAAATCGGGAAGCAAAAGATTCCAGAAAATAAGGTTCAACTTAAATATAACTAATAGTATTCTTTTTTCATCGTATTTCCGTTATTGAATTTGATTTTTTGTTTTTGAAGGTTGACTAAACTTTTTTCACATACGGTGTAAGAATTTCATGGAAAGTATAAATATGTGATTCCTAAAATTAAGATGTATTTTTTTATTTAAAAAACAT